TAAATGGCCGGCTAGTTCGGACTCTGTGCCGCGCGGCTACACACGGCACGGACTAGCTAGTTCGGATTAGGCTTCTAATCCGAACTAGCTGTACACCTCATTCCACGAGGTGTACAGCTAGTTCGGATTAGAAGCCTAATCCGAACTAGCTAGTCCGTGCCGCGTGTAGCCGCGCGGCACGGAGTCCGAACTAGCCGGCATTTAAAAATGGCGCCGGCCGGCTTCATGCAAATGAAGCCCGGGAAATTCAAATCCCGGGCTTCATTTGCAACTGCGGATGACTACATTACCCCCGCTAGTTCGAACTAGCGGGGTAGTGTAGACATACCCTAATGTAGACCAGGCCTAAAGCAGGAGCCAATAAATGCAATACAAACTACAGAATGTTAGGGGGAGTTGAGGGAAAGACCAGTCATGTCTTACGAGAGAGAACATAAGAACGTATGAATGGCCAGACTGGGTCAGACCAAAGATCCATCTAGCCCAGTGTCCTGTCTGCCAACGGTGGCCAATGCCAGGTGCCCCAGAGAGAATGAACAGAACAGGGAATCATTATATGATCCCTCCCCTGATGCCCATTCCCAGCCTCTGACCAACAGAGGCTAGAGACATCATCCGTGCCCATCCTGTTTCATAAGATTTGATGGACTTATCCTCCATGTATTCATCTAGTTCTTTTTTGAACCCTGTTAAAACCCTGGTGTTCAGAACATCCTCTGGCAAAGAGTTCCACAGGTTGACCATGCACTGTGTGAAGAAAAACTTCCTTTGGTTTGTTTTAAACCTGCTGCCTGTTAATTTCATTTGATGACCTCTAATTCTTATGTTATGGGAACAGGTAAATAACTTTTCCTTATTCACTCTCTCACAACAGTCATGATTTTATAGACCTCTATCATGCCCCCTCCCCCTTAGCCCTGGTCTACACTAGGGAGTTATTTTGAAATAATAAGCGGAGCATCCACACTACCAACCCCATTATTTCCAAATAAGGGGCTGGTTATTTCGAAATATGTACTCATGCTTTTCTTGGGGAATAAGCTCATTTCAAAATAGTTATGCAGGAATTATTATTTTGAATTTAGTTATTTTAAAATAATTTTCTAATGTAGACATGCCCTTCATCTCCTCTTTTCCAAGCTGAAAAGTCCCAGTCTTTTTCATCTTTCTTAATATGGCACCCACTCCAAACCCCTCATCTTTTTTGTTGCCCATATCTGAACTTTTTCCAACGCTAAGATACCTTTTTTGAGATGAGGCAATCACATGCGCGCAGTATTCAAGATGTGGGTGTACCATGGATTTATATAGAGGAAATAAGATATTCTCTGTCTTACTCTCTATCCCTTTTTTAATGATCCCTAACATTCTCTTTGCTTTTTGGACTGCCGCTGCACACTGGCTGTTTTCAGAGAACTGTCCACAATGACTCCAAGATCTCTGCTTTGAGTGGAAATAGCTAATTTAGTGCCCATCATTTTGCATGTATAATTGGGATTATGTTTTCCAATACACAGGACTTTACATTGATCCACGTTAAAATTCATTTGCCATTTTGTTGCCCTGCCACCTACGTTGGTGAGATCTTTTTGAAGCGCTTCACAGCCTCCTTGGTCTTAACTATCTTGAGCCGTTTTAGTTTCATCTGCAAATTTTGCCACCTCATTGTTTACGCCTTTCTCCAGATCATTTATCAGTATGTTGAATGGGATTGGTCCCCATACGGACGCCTGCAGGACACCATTAGTTACCTCTCTCCATTCTGGATACTGAAAGATGGAAAGAAAAGACACTTCCTTTAAGTGCATTTACTTCAATATAGAAGACAGGTTTATCCTACTGCCTGCTTGGCTTATGCCACTCAAAAGGCTGGCAGCATGCCTCGGGCACAGATTAGACTGAGCCGTGATACACATAGAATCTCTTCCTAGCTCTGCTGCCTGACTTGAGCAAATGCGACCCCGTTTTCCCTTCAAACCTGTGTCTGTCTTGTCTATTTCCTGTGTAAGGTCTCCAGAGCAGGGACTGGCTGTGTTCGTGGACAATGCCTAGCAGAGTGGAGCTGTTTTCAGCTGGCTGCCCCAGGTGCTAACCTAAGGCTCTAATACAACACAAAGCTTTGCTGACACTGCCATGTTAATCATGGACCATTCTCTTTCCCAAAGGTGCTTTTCAAAAATCCCCCATAAAAGATGTTTACTGATTATTGTCTGCGTTCTGTATTGGACTGATTCACACCAATGACTTGCTTCCAGGTTGAAAAGCTAGCTCTGTTCTTTCTTTCTATTAAGGCTCAACACACAGCAGTGTTCTTTTCTCTAATCCCAGCTGATCCAGGGATTTCACTTGGCCTCTCCGATGATTTAGCCTGCTCTGAAGGAACTTTTTTCTACTTTTTTTGCGCCTAAGCCATTCTTTTTCTAACCCGTTTTTTCCAGTATATAAAATATTTTGTATCCAATGGAAAATATAATCCAGCTGCTCTTCTCCAAGACCTCTCTCAAAAACCAGATACTGGATCCTAAACAGATATTAAATCTTCTTGCAGCCCACAGATAAAATGTGAGTATGAGCCTTTCTGCACATTCCAGGAAAATACACAAAGGGACCAAGATTAGCTCCCCATGTAGGCCAGGTCTACACTAAAGGGGAAAGTCGATTTATGATATGCAACTCCAGCTACGTCAATTACTGGAGTCAACAGATCTTAAATCACCTTTTGGCACTGTCCACACAGCGGAAGGGCCCGTCAACTTCCCTTACCCCTCATAAGGAGCAGGACTGCCGACGCGCACACCCCCTCAAATTGGCGGGTCTTCTAGTGATGACCCGCTAGTTTGAACCCCAGAAGAACAACTGCGGCAGTGTTGATTTTCTCCATAGTCCAGACAAGCCCTTAGAGTCCAAGGTCAGATTCTACTGCCATTGACTAGGCAAACTGGAACAGGCCTGCACCTTGAGTCTGGAAGGTTTGCTAAGGGACTGGAGATGGAAGCAGCACAGCTGAGCCAGGAGCCTGACTGGGGATGTGCTGGTGCTGCCCACCTGACTTGCATTTGCATTTCCCAGGGCTCCTGGTAGACCTTAAAGCCCTTGGCTTCTGACAGAGCCTGTAGCCAAAACCACACCTGGGTACACTTCGTCGGCACAGGGAGATCCAACAGGTAATTCTTTGTGCTGCTGGAGTGAATGTGGCGCTTTGGCATCACAGGTGTAGTGCTAACAGCTCTTAGGGGTATCAACAGCAGCTGTATAGATCCAATGTAGCCTGGTCATAATTTGAGCCTCATTTTTTCACTCTGTTTAGTGCTGTGAATACACACTGCCTTTTTTCCCCATGGAAACAAATGCTGGTTCTCATTCTAGAGAGATTTGCTGGCTCCCTTTTCCTGGATTAACCCAGGAGGCTTTTGGGCTCCTTTCAAAGACAATGGATGTCCTCTGAGTATGACTCAAGATAATGCTACTCGTTGGCCTAATATGACTTCCTGATGGGACCATCGCTCATCTGCCTGCTGCTCTGCATCGGGATTCTTTGATCAAGCATGTGAAGGTGGCGGAGTTGACTTTCACAGCATTAGTTTTCTAGGGCTCTCTGGACCAAATCTGGGAACAACAGCTGCTAAAATATTACCATTGCCACGGGCAACCCCCAAGAAACATCCAAAACGTCTTGGCAGCCCTTTTCCAGATTGGGGGAGGAGGAAAACCCCAAAGTACTGACTGATTCCCATGGCTGTGACCAAATTCTCCTACTAGAGAGAGTCATTGCTTCACGGAAGGCCCATCATGAGCTTCTAGTTCAACTCCTTGGATTACAGAAGGATCAAGATCCATCTTCTGGGGTGCAAATCCAAGAAGTCAGTGTGTTATGCTCTTTTACAGGGCAGCATGGTCCAATAGTCATGCCATCAGACAGGTCAGCCGAGCTGGGTTCTAATCCCAGCATCTACTAGATGAGCTTGGGCAAGTCACTTGCTCCTCGTTCCTCAGTGTTCCCTGTCTGTAAAATGGGGACAATGACACTGACTCTTTGTCAGGTGCTTTGGGATGAGAATTGCTACCCAAGAGCTAAGTATTTTTAATGTTTGGGCTCTAAAATCCACTTGAAATTGCTCGTTTCTTTATTTCGGTCACTACTTGGGGCTCTGATCCTGCAAAGACCTATGTGTGTGCTGTACAAGAGGTCAGACTGGATAATTTGGTGGTCCCAAATAGTCGCTAGCTCTGACTTGGTGTGCTAGTGTTGCTCACACAAGTAGTTCCACTGACATTAAAGACCATCTAGGATTGTAAAAGACAGCACAAAATCATGAGACTTTCAAAACCTCCAGTAGACTTTATTTAAAAGTTCTTTTGTATAGATTTCCTAAAAACAAAAAACCACAATACAAACAAAACCCCCAGCCCTGCAGACAAACAAAAAAAGATAAACACACAACGTTAGAGGAATGCCAAAAACATTCTACACCATGATTTAAAAATTCTTTGACTGAGTCGTTGGTCCCAACAGTGCATCTGTATTCAGAAATCTTGCTTTTTTTCTTTACTGGTTTGATTGATCACATATGCCACAAACACATAAAAGAGAATCAGTTTGAAGTCGAATCCAGCAAGAGAAAAAAACAGAATGAAAAACTGAACTGCCTGTTTGTCAGAATTAACTACTCCTTTACACGTAGGCTTTCCATCTAAAGTTATGCTCAGTTAGGAAAATGATACAAGCAAGTACATAACAGTTGCAGTGAAATTATTTTGTCTCTTATTGTCTAGATTTTACATTGCCTTAACCAGGCAGAATGCCAGAATCGGAAGGAAACGGTAGTTTGCAGACATGTTCAAACAAAGTAATCTGTAGTGGATAACTATGACATAATGTGGAAGGTATATACTATTACCCGGACACATGGAGTACTCAGTCCACAAACAGTTTAGCACCATATTGATAGGTCATGCAGCAAAACGCTCTCTTCAAGGTTTGCTTGGAATTGAAAGCATGAAATAGAACAGTGCAAGGTAGTGTACCCTTAGCTTCTAAAGGGGTAGGTTGGCAATGGCTGATTCCCGGTTCTCTTAGAGGTATGTGTTGATCTTTTGCTGTCTTTAGGTTCCTATTGTCGTGACAACCCCAGGATTAATGTCAGCTGAAATGTGAGAAGAAACACAGTGTTACCGGCATATACAGCACCAAAGGCAACAATTCAGCACCGAATTAAGTCTGTTCAAGCTGGGCAGACGTTCCCCATTGAGGCAGGTGGTTGGGGGGGAGTTGGCAGCTTGTGGAGCCTGAACTCTGCCCTCCAGGCATTGGCCAGTGCAGCAGGCTGGCCGTGCCTGGGCCAGCATGCTGCGCCTTGCAGCGTTATTTTGCAGCCCCACGGAGAGCAGCCTGGAAAATTACTCCTGAAGCACAAAGCCTCGTGTGCAAATCCCGAGTCAGGGTGTAGACGTGCTGCCCTTGATGAGGGGCACGTGCAAGAAGCACTGCACAGCTCTCAAGGTCATGGCCCACGGGGCCACTGGCACAAGGGTCGGCTGATTACTATACCCGGGCTGTGTTCTGGTGTCTCCAGCCGGGCCCCAAAGAAGCGCATGTGGCAGTGTGGAACACATCCAGGGCCAGCTGATTGATGCCACTTGTGTGGACTTACATGGCCTAAATTAAAGAGCTATGCTACCGCACGGAATGGCGGCGGGGTTGTCCTGGGCCCATCGACTTCTTGTATAGGCTGAACCTCTCTAGTCCAGAACTCTCTGGTCTGGAAACATCCATGGTCCAGAATGATTTTAATTAGCCAGGTGTCCACTTGGGGCGTGGCTGAGTTTCCCGCCATCTCATAAAGTTTTACGGCCACCAGTCCTGGCTCTCAGGGTTCTGTGCTGCTATTTAGCTCGAATTTACCCCTCAATATCTTCTCAGAGCCCAGTGAGCAGTGGAAGTGTTGGCGATATTGACCTCCCGTGGTTTGGCAAATTCTCTGGTTCAGAACCAGGTGCCGGACTAAAGAGGTCCAGCCTGTACACACTAGTTTGTAGGAAGGCAGGTGATCTCAGCACGATCCCAATTGGCTGCTTGCTAATATACTGGTCTCTAGTGCCCTCCTCACTTAGAACAAGTACTTCCACCGGGCTAGACTTGAAGTCTGGGCCTAGAGCAACCGATGGGCCCTTCTGGGCAGAGGGATAAGTGAGCGTACCCCTGCCCTAATCCACAGCATGCTGGAGATAATGAAAAGCCTCCCTTTGACTTGACTGGAAGAAAGGGTTGTGGGCACTATTAGAATTGGCATTTTTAGCCCAGCTCCTTTGCAGTCAATACAGGGACTGCGTCTCTCCAGATTCTGTACCCGACTGGGAGGCATAGAGGAGGAAGGGACTCGACTTACCAGGAATGCAAACATTTTCACATTCTTTCTGTGTGCTAAATCTGTTTTCATTTCCACCGCAGCCACCATACCAGAATCTGGCACAGCTCTTGGTACTTGGGTCGTAGTACCAGTTGAGCACGAAATCCCTGCAGGTTCCTCCCTCCTTCTGCAACCTACAGATATCGGTGACTACAAATAAATAGAGAGAGACTTAGCAACTGACAAATGCAAACACACCACCCCTGTGTTTGCCTGCACATCCATGGATTCACAGATGCAACTGGACAGCAAGTCAGACATGTCCTTCCGGACGGTGCATGCTTAGGAGACCGGGACAGATGGATCACGGGGTATATAGTGGCATGCAGGGTTAAAAAAGGGAATCTGCATGTTACAACCTAGAAATGACCAGTTGGTCCATCATTCCAAAGTCCTTGCTGCTCCAGATAAAGGCAGAACCACCCTGGGGGGCATCTAGCCAGCTATGTAATTCTTCCCTGGAAGGACAAAATTCCCTCGGGCCCCTGCAAATGATGCCTTGAAACTCCGAAGCACAAGATCTAGGCCAGATTCTGGCCAGTACCTGTAGAGGAACCCTTCCCTTTCCCCCATGCTGCACTGCTATGGGGCTGGCCAGAAACTTGAGGGGAGCATAATCTCTGTGTCACGGGGCTTACTCACCACCCTGTTGCCTCCAGGCAGCCGTCCTCGCCTACCTGTCTGGGTGCCTCCCTCTAGGAATCTCTGTGTCACGGGGCTTACTCACCACCCTGTTGCCTCCAGGCAGACGTCCTCGCCTGCCTCTCTGGGTGCCTCCCTCTAGATGGTGCCTCCCCATGTTCCTCTCATCTTCTTCCAGACTTGGCCGTCGGGCTTACTCACCACCCTGTTGCCTCCAGGCAGACGTCCTCGCCTGCCTCTCTGGGTGCCTCCCTCTAGATGGTGCCTCCCCATGTTCCTCTCATCTTCTTCCAGACTTGGCCGTCGGGCAGTGCCCACACCAGTGTCTGAGCCCCTCTCCGGGGTTGTTGTTTACTATGTGGGCCATGCTTCAGGCCCTACAGCCTGGGAGCTGCTTGGCCAGAGCTTCTCCAGCCCTTCTCTAACTCCAGGAAGCCTCCTACTTCCCTGGAAGTCTGGTCCCTATTGCTCTCTGTCCAGAGCAGCAGGAGCTGCTCGGGCGGGGAGGGAAGCCGTCCCATTTCTCAGTCTGCTAGTGGGAAAAAACAGGGGTCCGGCACGGAGGGGCAGCCCAGCGACGGACGGGGCTGGAGCATCGCCAAGGGCTGAAAGCAAACAGCCCACAGGGCCTCTGCACACTGATCTCCCCGAGGACGGCATTTTCTCTCCTACTGACAAGTTTACATTTGCATGTTTCCCTCCAGATTTCCTGGCACCAGGCATGGGGCCTCACGGGGAATGTCGCACATGAGCCTGCCAGCTGGGGACGGTGTGAGGGGGGGTCCGATTGAAAGGCGTTCGTTGGCATTAGCTATGTCTGCATTTGGCATGGGCGTGATGTGCCGCATGGTAAATTTCAGAGTTAGGTGACTCTTTTTGTTGCTGATTTCGTCCTACTAGCTCTACGATCTATGTATAGATGGAAACAGATCTGAAAAGAGGCTCCCTTAAATATCACCCCGAGCTACGGCCCTTCCTCACAATAACAAGGGCAAACGCAGGAGCGGCCCTAGATGAGCTGCTGGCAACTGGCGCCCTAGGTGAAACACACGATCGGCACCCCGCCTCCAAAGCCCTCAACGGCCGTTTATCTTGGTGCCCTAGGGAGGTCGCCTGTATTGACGGGCCGCCACTGGGCAAACGTAGTAAAACATTGGAGACTGGAGTCAGCACGATGCAGAACTCCACTGTGCATTTTCCACCATGCCCGCTTCCCAATGTCAGGTGATGCTGCGATTATAGATGACACCTCCTACTTAGCGCCAGCCCCGTCCCTCATCGTGTGCTGTGTCAGTCTGCGGTGGCTGGTAGCTGGATTCACTTTCCCGGACAGACGTGGGGACACCCTTTGGTGCAAATTGCTTACAGCGGCCGGTGGAACTCACCAGCTGCGTTACCCATTTCTGCCCTAACATTCCCTATTCGTCTCACAGGTACAAAATCTGTGACGGCCGTGTACACCATGGGAACCAAGGTCACTGGGGACACTCCACCAGCTCTCTTGGGGGACGCTGTTCTTCCACACCGTTGGCTGAATAGAATCCACTGGTTTTATGAACTGAACGTGCCCAATGGGCAGCCCAGTTCCCTGAAAGCAGTTCGACCTACGGAGCTGCACATGGTGTGTCAGGCTCCAGCTGTCTTCCCTCATGGAGCCACGTCCTGAGATGTGCAATCCGCCTGCACACATGTGTCTCTGGATTGTGTTACTGACAGGATGGCACGCCACGCGGGCCGCGGTTGGAGCCCATAATGTCCAGCTGGCGGTAAGAGTTGCAGTGAGTGTAAATAAGCCTCCTGATTTACCTCCGCAAAGGGGGCTGCTACCCACAGCAAAACAAATAAATGTTGGGCAAACAACCCTTTTCAACCCGTCCTGGGTTCCTGTGCCAAGCACAGATCAGCAGGACCTGAGCATCTTCCTCAGTGTTTCCAGTTGCTTGTTTTGTTTCATACTGACATTTTCCCAAACTGTCGTGTGATGAAAAATCACAAAGAGCACACACACAAAAGACACCACATAAAACCAATTAGTTGGGGAGGAGGGGGCTACTGATCTTCAAATTGTGGCAATTTCCTTCCCCCCCCCCCCCCCCCAAACCTTTG